GTGTCTAGTTATGGGTTTTGCTGGTATTGTTCATGGAATTTTTTATTTCAAATTTTGTTTCCTAATTACTCAGATTAATTTTCCAACACCCACTCTTTCAAGGCAGCTTATTGGGGTTAGTGGTAGCAACTCTTCTCTTGGAGATAGTCTTACATGTCTGTATAAAGAAAGATGCCATGTTCCAGGACAGAATGTACTGCTCTTAGGATGAATAGAGAGCAACATCCCTGTTGTCTGCCATGGTTGTCAGCCTTCCTTCAGGTGACTTTGGCCTGTGATTTTCTGTCCTGTTTGGGTCTCAGGTTATCCAAAAGGAATCATATTGAAGAGGGTGTTTATGAATTTCCATGTTCTCATGTTTTTAATTCTTCACAGCCTACTTCAAACATTATTCGTTCTTTTTTTTTTTTTGAGATGGAGTTTTGCTCTTGTTACCCAGGCTGGAGTGCAATGGCGCGATCTCGGCTCACCGCAACCTCCGCCTCCTGGGTTCAGGCAATTCTCCTGCCTCAGCCTCCTGAGCAGCTGGGATCACAGGCACGCACCACCATGCCCAGCTAATTTTTTGTATTTTTATTAGAGGCGGGGTTTCACCATGTTGACCAGGATGGTCTCGATCTCTCGACCTTGTGATCCACCCGCCTCGGCCTCCCAAAGTGCTGGGATTACAGGCTTGAGCCACCGTGCCCGGCACATTATTCGTTCTTGCTTCTGTCTCTCATCTATCTTTCAGATATTAGATGTAGTCAAAAACACTTGACTTTCTTCCAAACACATTTAGGTGGACTGAATTCCAGTCCCCGCTCTGCACAGATGTGTGAGAATTCAAGTCAGTCAGTTACCCTGGAGGTCTGTGTCCTCCTCTGTAACATGATGGGGGTGACTTGATGACTGCTAAGAAGCTAACAGATGCCAAGAGACAGCAAAGTCAAGGGGAAAGGGCTTGGGGCTCTGCAGACACACACAATGGAACTGATTGTTGGCTATCCAGTTCTTTGTAGTGTGTGGCCTTGGGCAAGTTGTTGTGTACAACTGCCTGTTTTCTGTGTTAAGTTGAATATATCAACACCCATGATGGCCAAGTGCAGTGGCTCATGCCTATAATCCTAACGCTTTGGGAGGCCAAGGAGGAAGGATGGCTTGAGCCCAAGAGTCTGAGATCAGCCTGGGAAACATAGTGAGACCCCATCCCTACCAAAACTAATTTTTTTAAAATTAGGCATTTTGTTTCAAAAATTTCAGAGAAAGGCACCGATATCTAGAGTCTTATTTGAGGGGCACTCTTCCCACCTCAGCTTCCCGAGCTACTTGGGAGGCTGAGGTGGGAAGGTTACTTGAGCTGGGGAGGTCAAAGCTGTAAAGAGCTAAGTCATAACTCAACACTGCACTCCCGTCTGGGTGATAGAGACCATGTCTCTAAATAAATAAATAAATACATCCACTTCACATGAGCATAGTGAAGACTAAGTAGAAGCACCTATTACCTTGTATCCAGCACTGTTCTTGGTGCTTTACGTGTATTAGCTCCTTTAATCTTCACAACTCTAGAACCCCCATTTCACAGTTGCTAGAAACAGGTACAGGGAGGGTAGGTACATCACTTGGCCAATGTCATACCCTGCTATGAAACACTCATGTGGCAATGTAAAGCACACACAATATTTGGCACATATAAACTGCATCAATTAAGTCATACACTGCAGTTCCAAAACTGTGCTTTTTGGTATTTTGACATCCCCCTTCACAGACAGCTTTGGAAATGTTTTCTGTGGTTTTTATACTCCACTTTTAGTTCTGACTCACACAGTCGCTTTATCCTAACCACTTCCTGCAGCAGTAAGAATTGTTTCCAGCTGCTAGTTTCTGCAGAGGATTGTCCTTGGAGAGTGGGGTGTCCACTGTGGTTCCAGTTGCAGCTCTGGAGCCAACACATGAAGATGCCCTCTGCAGGACAGTAAGAGAAGTATCACATGAGGTTGGCTGAGATATGTGCCTTGGCATTGGCTTTGTTTCAAAGAACCAAAGCTTTCCTGGGCAAATGGCCTCTTAGTCATTTCAGCTTACCTCAATCGCATATTTAAAATTTTGGTTTTTGCTCTGGAGCTTCAGGGGAATTGAGGCATGAGACAGTTATGGCCTAGTTAAAGAACAGTCTGTCTGCATAAATTTTATGCCTGCAGAGTGTATATGTGTATGTGTGTGTTAGGAGATAGGTCTGGGATGTGTTTCATTCAGTACTGGCTCAAGGTTCCTTATTTGACTTGCTTGTTTAAACTTATTCTACTTTGGAAGCCTCTAATAGTTTTTCTCTATGAGGAAAGTCTGCTTTTATTTTTTTGTTTTTTTTTGTTTTTGAGATGGAGTTTCTCTCTTGTTACCCAGGCTGGAGTGCAATGGCGCGATCTCGGTTCACTGCAACCTCCGCCTCCTGGGTTCAGGCAATTCTCCTGCCTCAGCCTCCTGAGTAGCTGGGATTACAGGCACATGCCACCATGCCCAGCTAATTTTTTGTTGTATTTTAGTAGAGATGGGGTTTCCCCATGTTGACCAGGATGGTCTCGATCTCTTGACCTCGTGATCCACCCGCCTCGGCCTCCCAAAGTGCTGGGATTACAGGCTTGAGCCACTGCACCCGGCCTGGAAAGTCTGCTTTTAAAAATCATTTGCCTAATCTTATGCACCCCAGTGAAACAAAGTCCCAGACAATAAATTTGTAAATTTTTCTGTTATAAAAGTAATGGAGCAAAATGTGAAATTTCTCCTCTAAAATTTAGCTTGCCATATTTTATTTTGCCTTATTATTTCACACTGAGCATATATTTGTGGGCTATGTTTCATGAGTCGTAAAGCTTTAAAATGTGCATTGAAAAAAATTAAAACGGCTGGGCACAGTCACTCACGCCTGTAATCCCAGCACTTTGGGAGGGATTACTTTGGAGGGAGGCCAAGCAGGTGGATCACGACGTCAGGAGTTCAAGACCAGTCCGGTGAAATCCCGACTCTACTAAAAATACAAAAAAATTAGCCGGGCGTGATGGTGGGTGCCTGTAATCCCAGCTTCGTGGGAGGCCGAGGCAGAGAATTGCTTGAGGCCAACTCTTACTCCCAATTCTACTCTCTAGAGGTAGCCATATTTGTTTCTTTTCTTTTTTAAAAAAAAAACAAAAACAAAAAAACAGGGTTTCACTATGTTGGTCAGGCTGGTCTTGAACTCCAGACCTCAGGTGATCCACCTGCCTTGGCCTCCAAAGTGCTTGGATTACAGGTGTGCGCCACCACGCGTGGCCAGCTGTATTTATTTCTTCGTTTCCCTCCAGATAAATTTTAACAATTTTTTTTGTTATTTAGAAACATGGGATCATACTACCTGCACTGTACTGCAAACGTGCTTTTTCCATTGAATAATACATAGACCATCTTTGCACATTAGCACACAGAAATTCACTGCACTGTTGTCAGTGGATGCACTGTAGTCCATGGAATGGATTTACCAAAACTTATTCAGCCAGTGCTCTGGTGACAGACATTTAAGGGATTTACAGTTGCTGACTAACTGGCAAGTGTGGCAGGCGGGGAAGTGTTCTAGGACTATCACCATGATATGTGTACGAAAGTGCCCCTGAGACTACCATGAAGGTGAATACAGCCTCCTTATATATACCTGAAGACAACAGTCTTGACGGGTAGAACTTCAATAGAATGTAGGACCTAGAAAAACTGACCATCTAGCTGGTTTTCCAAGATTTTTTGTGGGCTGTAATACACTTGTATCAAAGGAAATCCTTCTTGACGGTTCAATACGTAAAACAGTTAAAAAGCAGTGGCTGGTCTGGCATTAGTTGGGGGAAGTGGGGAGGAGGGAAGAGGGCTATGCCTATGAAACTCCTGAAATAAGAAACCAGATGCATGTGCTTTCTCTGAGCCAAACCATTACCTCTCTGGCTCATACTACGTTAGTAGATTTTTCAAAAGGAAACTGTACTCCAGGGTTCTGAGGGGACAGAGAGTTTGAGAATCCTTGCTCTAGCCTGCCTCTGCTGATTGAGAAAACGGTAATGCTGCCGTTGGGCTGAAATATCTGTTCCTTTCACAGCTTTTGTCACAACTGGTAGCTACCGTTTCTCCGTTCTCGGCCTCCTTGGAACAGGGGTCTTGCCTGACACGTGCACACTCGCACATGGCACAGCAAGTGGGAGACAGTAGGCACTCAAAGCATTTGCTGTAAACATGAATGAAGAAGGGCGACAGGCTAATAAAGGATGGAAGGCTTTTGGGGTCAGCACAGCCCCGGGACGTCCCTTTCCCGTCGGCCGCCAGACGCCAGGAAACGCCGACTCCACTTCGCGGCGCCGCGCCCGGGATGCCAGAGACTGCATCGACTCTTTCCCGACACAGGGCACGCGGCGACTCCGGCGAAAAGCGGCCATAGGCCGTCGCGGCTCGGAGACCTCTGGGAAACATGGGTCCCAGTCCCTCCGCTCTCCAAGTGGCTCGCGTGCTCCCGGGGTACTCTGGGAAATGTGTTTCTGAGCGTGGTCCGCGCAAGTGCAAGCGTGAGGGCGGGGCGTCGGGCGTCAGTCTGGCGTGTCCGTCGCGCCTTCTACCAGCCCCTAGGCAGAAGCCGCCATGGGCCCGTCCTGCCTTCCTCATTCCCTCCCTCCCTCAGTCAGCCCGGACCCCGGCGGGAATTAGGCACAGGTCGTGTCTCGCTTGACCCCAGCGCGTCCTGGCACCCTGCGGACACTTCCTCTTTATGCTCGGTCGCTCTTCCCGCATGTCTCCTTCCCCAGGCCCCTTCTCCTCGGGATGCCGTGCCAGAGAGGGGCTGCCGGGCCAGAGACCCCCGGAGTGGCGCCGCCCTACGCTCTGGCGTGGGGTTCGTGGGGCGACGGCAGGAGGGGTACTGGAGGGAACGGCTGTGCGGGGGCGGGACCTCCTCCTCCCCACAGGCGCGCCCCTGACAGTCGTGCCATGGCTCTGCGGACGTCCGAGGACGCAACTGGTGGTTCCTCCCGCGGTGCCCGACACGGTTACCTCTCCGAATTGCCGGAACAACGCATTTGGTAGGAAACGGAAGTTGAGAAAAATCGACTAACTTACTCACTTCACACGGCCCCAAATATTTGAGTCTCGTATTTCCCACATTTCGTGGAGCTTCCAGACTCGTAAACGGTTGCAAAACAAGGTGATGAGTGGGAATGGCGTAAGCATGGGGCGGGGGAGTGGGGAGAGGAAATGGGCAGCACCTTAGAGGGCAGGATTCAACAAACGGAACCTCTAAGTGGGCAGTGTCAGTGCTGCTTCGTAGCCGGGCATGGTAGCTCAGGCCTGTAATCCCAGCACTTTGGGAGGCCGAGGCGGGCGGATCACGAGGTCAGGAGTTTGAGACTAGCCTAACCAACAAACATGGTGAAACCCCCTCTCTACTAAAAATATAAAAATTATTCAGGTGTGGTGCTGTGCACCTGTAATCTCAGCTATTTGGGAGGCTGAGGCAGGAGAATCACTTGAACCTGGGAGGTGGAGGTTGCAGTGAGCCAAGATCATGCCACTGTACTCCGCTTGGGCAACAGAATGAGACTGTCTCAAAAAAAAATAAAAGTAAAATATGAAACAAATTCCCTGCCCTCAGTAATCCTATTATTTTGCTATTTTTCCTCCAACTTCCTTATTACTTCCGGATACATTATGCATTTGTTTATATCAGTTCACACTTTCCTATAAGAATGTAGGCTCAGGCCAGGTGCAGTGAACCACACCTGTAATCTCAGCACTTTGGGAGGCTGAGACAGGTGGATCACCTGAGGTCAGGAGTTTGAGACCAGCCTGACCAACATGGTGAAATCCTATCTCTAATAAAAATACAAAAACTAGCCAGGCATGGGGGTGGGTGCCTGTAATCCCAGCTGCTCAGGAGGCTGAGGCAGAAGAATCGCTTGAGTCTGACAGGCGGAGGTTGCAGTAAGCCGAGACAGTGCCACTGCATTCCAGCCTGGGCAACAGAGAGACTTGTATTTAAAAAATAATTAAATAAATAAAGGGCTCGACCGGGCACGGTGGCTCAAACCTGTAATCTCAGTGCTTTGGGAGGCCGAGGCGGGTGGATCACGAGGTCAAGAGATCGAGACCATCCTGGTCAACATGGTGAAACCCCATCTCTATTAAAAATACAAAAAATTCGGCCGGGCGCGGTGGCTCAAGCCTGTAATCCCAGCACTTTGGGAGGCCGAGGCGGGTGGATCACGAGGTCAAGAGATCGAGACCATCCTGGTCAACATGGTGAAACCCCGTCTCTACTAAAAATACAAAAAATTAGCTGGGCATGGTGGTGCGTGCCTCTAATCCCAGCTACTCAGGAGGCTGAGGCAGGAGAATTGCCTGACCCCAGGAGGCGGAGGTTGCGGTGAGCCGAGATCGCGCCATTGCACTCCAGCCTGGGCAACAAGAGCGAAACTCTGTCTCAAAAAAAAAAAAAAAAAAAAAAATACAAAAAATTAGCTGGGCATGGTGGCCTGTAATCCCAGCTACTCAGGAGGCTGAGGCAGGAGAATTGCCTGAACCCAGGAGGCGGAGGTTGCAGTGAGCCGAGATCGCGCCATTGCACTCCAACCTGGGTAACAAAGAGCAAAACTCCATCTCAAAATATATATATATAAATAAATAAATAAAATAAATAAATAAATAAAGGGATCTTCTGAGTGGGCCAAACGTGGTGGTTCACGCCTGTAATCCCAGCACTTTGGTAGGCCAAAGCAGGCAGATCATTCGAGGCCAGGAGTGCGAGACAAACATGGTGAAACCCCGTCTCTACTAAAAACACAAAAATTAGGCAGGCGTGGTGGTCGTGGGCGCCTGTAATCCCAGCTACTCAGGAGGCTGAGGCAGAAAAATCACTTGAATCCTGGAGGTGGAGATTGCATTGGCGTGATTGCACCACTGCGCAGCAGAGTGAAGTTGCATCTAAAAAAAAAAGAAAAAGAGAATATGGGCTCTTCTGAAGGGCATTTTTACCAGAAAAAAAAAAAAAAAAAAAAGAATGTGAGCCCTGCAAGAAATTTTGTTCTGTTCATTTCTGTATCCATAATACCTAGAATAGCACCTGGCATACAGCAGGTGCTCTATAAGTATGAGTAAATGAATGGCCTTGCGGTGTCTCTAACTATATGTTTAACGTATCAATTAACCCATCTACACAGGGTGGACACCTGTCTCAATTTCCCAGGACTGAGGTCATTCCCAGAACTAGGCTTTCAGTGCTAAAACTGGGCAAATTGGGTTTTGGTCCCAGGCAAAACGTGTTGGTCACCTACCTCTAAGCATAAGTTTCCTCATCTATCAAAAAAATAGTATTTTCCTCACAAGCCTAAGTGAGCCTCAAATGAGAGCATGTGTGTAAAATGCTGGGCCTGTGGTCTAGGACATCACAGACTTTCGAAGCTTGACTTGTGTTTTGACAACCTGTCTCTCTTGGCTTCAGCCATGGTAAACCACCTGCCTACCCTTCAGACTGTGGGCCGGGCCCATGTCCAGCACCCTGCCTGTAGCCATCTGCGATGGTTCAAGGCCACCATTTTCTTTTTCCCTTTCTTTTTTTTCTTGAGACGGAGTTTCACTCTTGTTGCCCAGGTTGGAGAGCAATGGTGCCATATCGGCTCACCGCAACCTCCTAGGTTCAAGCAATTCTCTTGCCTCAGCCTCCCAAGTAGCTCTGATTACAGGCATGTGCCACAACACTCGGCTAATTTTGTGTTTTTACCAGAGGTGGGATTTCTCCATTTTGGTCAGGCTGGTCTCAAACTCCTGATCTCAGGTGATCCACCTGCCTCGGCCTCCCAAAGTGCTGGGATTACAGGCGTGAGCCACTGTGCCCAGCAAGGCAACCATTTTTTTTTTTTTTGGCCATTTTGACGTAGGCATTTTAGTGTATCAAAGTGTGGTTTGATTTTTGATGGAGCCCCTGTGGCAAAGCAACGTTTACAATTGACCTTTTTAAAAAAATCATTAACCCTTTAGGTTTCTGAATTTTTTTTATTTATTAAAGACTGTGCTGTACAAAACATAATCTCAGCACCGAAGTGACAGCCATCACTGTGATCAGGGGCCAGCTGACAGACAAGCCATAGATGACCAAGGGGCCTTTCTTGCCAGCTTGCTCACCCCAGAGAGGGCTGTGGAGTGATTCTAAGCAAAGTGTCTTAGAATATAGTTCGGTGCCTGGAAATTCATTTGAAATTTGAATGATTAGCCTCTCAAAGGCTCAGATCTCTCCCTTAAAATTAAATAAACCAGTAGTGTGGAGGAGTTTGTGTCACAGTGGGATTCATTATTCTCCACTCCAAATCAACATGGGAAATCTTCCACAACCTTCCAAACAGCTCTGTCCATTATGTCAACAACAGACCTATCGTATTTCAATATTATACACCTCCTTTGTTGTGATGGTTTAAGAGCATAGAACTGATAATCCTTTAGAAGTTAAGCTCATTATGAAAGAGTTTTTTTTTTTTTTTTTTTTTTTTTCCAGAATCTTGCTCTGTTACCCAGGCTGGAGTGCAGTGGTGCAATCTCGGCTCACTGTAACCTCTGCCTCCCAGGTTCAAGCAATTCTCCTGCCTCAGCCTCTGGAGTAGCTGGATTACAGGTGCATGACACCTCACCTGGCTAATTTTTGTATTTTTATTAGAGACGAGATTTTGCCATGTTGGCCAGGCTGGTCTCAAATTCCTGACTTCAAGTAATCCACCCACCTTGGCCTCCCCAGATGCTAGGATTACAGGCATGAGCCACCGTGGCCAGCCTGAAATGCTTTTTTTTTTTTTTTTTTTTTTTTTTTTTTTTTTTTTGAGACGGAGTTTCGCTCTTGTTACCCAGGCTGGAGTGCAATGGCACGATCTCAGCTCACCGCAGCCTCCGCCTCCTGGGTTCAGGCAATTCTCCTGCTTCAGCCTCCTGAGTAGCTGGGATTACAGGCACGCACCACCATGCCCAGCTAATGAAATGCTTTTTAAAGCTATCTTTTTTGCTTATTACAAAAATAACACAATCTTCATTTTTTTTAATCTCAAAATGTGCAGAAGTAAATGCCATAGAAAGTGAAAGCCCTGGTGACCAGGAATGGAGTGAAGGTCATGGTGTCTGAACTGCACATTACCCAGGAATAATAGCAGAGAGTAGACCCATTGCAGCAACTTTGTTGGGCTTGATATAAAGTCACACATCCAATGGCAAGGGCACAAAAGAGAGCCCATGACCATTCCACTTTGATTATTAAACACTTAAATGACATTACAAGGGCAATAATAGTATTTTCACTGTAATAAATTACTGGATCCCCCCCACAAACAAAAGCTTTGTGAGCCCTTCTTGCCCTAGAATCTCCCAAGTGGCATCAAAACATTGCCTTCTAGAAGTCCTGCCTCAGAACTGCTTCTGTTGCAAAAAGTGTCACAGCGATTGCAAAATGTCCTGATTTAAACTGGAAAGTCCCATTCCCTGCCCAATTCTGTCATGGGTTTTTGGTCTCAGCTCCGAGAAGTTTTCTGACCAGTCAAGATGGGATCACACAGCACCCATAGTGTCACTACAGAGTCTCATCCTTTCTCCATCTGGGAGACTGCCTGGGAGGGGCTGGTTTGCCACCATCCCGAGTCAGGGACAAGTGCTGGTCCCAGTGATACCCCAGTCAACACCCTTCTTCTGGCCCAGCGTAAAAATTCCAAAAATCTGCTGTCTGTACCATTAATGTGCATTTCAGTTCACTCCCTTTATTTATCTTTTTTGAGACTGGGTCTTTTGCTGTGTCACCCAGGGTGGAGTGCAGTGTTGCAATCACAGCTCATTGCGGCATCAACCTAGGCTCAAGCAATCTTCCCACCTCAGCCTCCTGAGCAGGAGGGACCACCAGTGTGTGCCACCACACCTAGGTAATTTTTTAAACATGTTTTGTAGAAGTGGGGTCTCCTTATATTGCCCAGGCTAATCTTGAATTCCTGGGCTTAAGTAATCCTTCTGCCTCAGCCTCCCAAGGGCTGGAATTACAGGTGTGAGCCACCATACCTGGCCCAATTCACCTACTCTTTAGGGAAGATGTTGGGTTTGGGGGTTATAGATCAGAAGGATGTAGTGAACTGCATGTTTGTTATCAGCTATGAAAACAAAGTAGGCTGAAAGCAGTGGCTCACGACTGTAATCCAAACACTTTGGGAGGCTGAGGTGGGTGGATCACCTGAGGTGGGGAGTGTTCAGGACCAACCTGACCAACATGGAGAAACCCGTCTCTACTAAAAATACAAAATTAGCCAGTTGTGGTGGTGCATGCCTCTAATCCCAGCTACTTGGGAGGCTGAGGCAGGAGAATTGCTTGAACCCAGGAGGCAGAGGTTGCAGTGAGCTGAGATTGCACCCTTGTACTCCAGTCTGGGCAAGAGCAAAACTCTTAGAAAAAAGGAAAGAAAGAAAAGAAAACAAAGCAAAAGCACCAAATACTCTGTGAAATAAAAAACTGGTAGACCGGCTGGACAATAAGTTAAATACAACCAACCAGAGCTCATCAAAGCCTTGAATCCCAGGCTGGGCACACACAGAGGTGCTCACATGCAGAGCTGTTTGTTCAGCTAGGTATCAGAATGTTGTGACTGACCTGTGGAAGTGACCCATCCTGGACCTCAATGGCCAGCTGGAAATGTGACATCCATGGGTAGTCATAGGTAGTAAAATCATCAATTATTGTCATGCAGGGGAATGATGTTGTGAAGTGATGGATGTTTGGATCCTGGCTCTGGACGTTATTAAGTTACAGATTCTTGGTTGCAAAGGGGGATGAATGACAAACCCAGCCCTGTAGAATGCTGCAGAGATTCTAGGAGATAGTGTTTATAAAGCAAGTGGTGGCTGGTGCAGAGGGTAAAATGCATCATTAACAAAACTTGTGGCTGGCATGATGGCTCATGCCTGTAATCTCAGCACTTTGGGAGGCCAAAGTGAGTGGATCGCTTGAGCTCAGGAGTTCAGCCTGTGCAGCATAGTGAGACCCTGTCTCTCTAAAAAATACAAGAATTAGTTGGATGTGGTGGCATGCATTTATAATTCAAGCTACTCTGGAGACAGAGGTGGGAGGGTCACTCGAGCCCAGGAGGCAGAAGTTGCAGTGAGCTGAGATCCCACCACTGCACTCCAGCCTGAGTGACTAAGCAAGACCCTGTCTCAAAAAAGAAAAAAAAAAAGGTATGCAAAGATCAGAAGTAGGTAACTGAGGAGTCATTTCACCCCACATGTAACTTATTTATTTATTTTGGGACAGAGTCTTGCTCTTTCACCCAGACTGGAGTGTAATGGTGCTGCAATCTCAGCTCACTGCAACCTCCACCTCCCAGGTTCAAGCAATTCACCTGCCTCAGCCTCCTGATTACAGGCCCACACCACCACACCTGGCTAATTTTTGTATTTTTAGTAGAGATGGGGTTTCACCATGTTGGCCAGGCTGGTCTTGAACTCCCAACCTCAGGTCATCCACCCACCTCGGCCTCCCGAAGTGCTGGGATTACAGGCGTGAGCCACCGCACCTGACTCCCCACATGTAAATTCTGTTAGCTTCAGAGCCACCTCTGGGGCCCTGCACCAGACTATGAGCTGAAGGACACCTGTGCCTTTTTACCCCTGTAGCTCCAGCATCCTGGCACAGTGTCTAGAATGTTCAATGAATGTGCACGGAAGAGCATTTTGGCTCCAGGGAGCGAGGACCCAATCTGCTCTGGGAACAGATGAGTCAGGCTGGTGGTCCGGGCATTGCTTTTTCAAGCCCTTCATGTTGCTGGAAGAACCAGCAACAGCTGGAACTGGATCAACAGGGGTGATGATGTGGCGAGAGTTACATCCCTGGCAGTGCCCTTCTGGCTTCACTTGCCTTCTTGGGCTAGGAAAGGCAAAGATCAGGGGGCTGTATGCACTGCCCACCCCTTCCCCCTGTCCTGTGCCATTGGGTCTGGAGGGTCCATGAAACCCCGAGTCTCTAGGAGAACAGTTGACCAGCGGGGCTGGCCCTCAGCATGGTCCTCTCTGTTCCCACTCACCTGCTTTGCCAGCCCCAGAGGGGCTGGCAGGAAGGGAGATTGGAGTGGGTATCTGGAATTTAGTCCCAGACCTTCCCTTGCAGACTTGCCCACCTGTCTGTGGTCTAATGTGGAGGTGAGGTCCAGGGGTCAAGAGGATGTGGGCGCACATGTCTGGCAAGGCATTGAGCCCTCCCAGCTGGAAAATCCTCTGAACCTGTGAGAAGAGAACACAGCCAGCATGGACACACCCTTACCCTTAGTCTCATTTCCCGCCAAGACACAGAGCATTTCCTGTGCCTTTTCCGGTATTTCACAAGCTGCCTTTTCTTGCTCACGAAGGACAGAGGCTTCTTCTCCTGCCAGAAGCCAGACAGCTGGTTCCAGCCTTTCCAGTTCAGCGCCATGGCCAAGAGGCCTAGTGACCATCTGCTGTCCATCCTGGAGGAGCTGGTGCCTTACGACTTTGAGAAGTTCAAGTTCAAGCTGCAGAACACCAGTGTGGAGAAAGAGCACTCCCGGATTCCCCGGGGCCAGATCCAGACAGCCAGGCGGGTGAAGATGGCCTCTCTGCTAGTCACCTACTATGGGGAGGAGTACGCTGTCCGGCTGACCCTGCAGGTCCTGCGGGCTATGAACCAGCACCTGCTGGCCGAAGAGCTCCACAGGGTGGCTGTTCAGGGTAAGCGAGTCACAGCCTCCTCCTCACCCAACACTGAGAGCTGGCTGCTTTGTGGGAGAGGGGACCAGGAGCTCAGAACAGCTCACTCTGACTTGGGGGTTGGGAGTCCTGAGTCTACCAACACCCAGGTGACTTCAGTTCAGGAACGTTCTTTCCTTCACTCTGGCCTTTGGAACTGGGTTAGTAAACTTCCTTAAGGCTCCTAATGGTTTTTTTCTTTTCTTTCTTTTTTTTTTTTTTGAGATGGAGTTTCGCTCTTGTTACCCAGGCTGGAGTGCAATGGCGCGATCTCGGCTCACCACAACCTCCGCCTCCTGGGTTCAGGCAATTCTCCTGCCTCAGCCTCCTGAGTAGCTAGGATTACAGGCACGCGCCACCATGCCCAGCTGATTTTTTGTATTTTTAGTAGAGACGGGGTTTCACCATGTCGACCAGGATGGTCTCGAACTCTCGACCTCGTGATCCACCCGCCTCGGCCTCCCAAAGTGCTGGGATTACAGGCTTGAGCCACCGCGCCCGGCTCTTTTTTTTTTTTTTTTTTTGAGATGGAGTCTCCCTCTGTTGTCTAGTCTGGAGTACAGTCGCACGATCTTGGCTCACCACAACCTCTGCCTCCTGAGTTCAAGCTATTCTCCTGCCTCAGCCTCCTGAGTAGCTGGGATTACAGATGTGCATTCCCACACCCAGCTAATTTTTGTATTTTCAGTAGAGACAGGGTTTCACATGTTGGTCAGACTGGTCTCAAACTCCTAACCTCATGATCTGCCCGCCTCGGCCTCCCAAAGTTCTGGGATTACAGATGTGAGCCACCACACCCGGCCTCTAGTGGACTTTTTTTTTTTTTTTTTTTTTTTTTTTGAGACGGAGTTTCGCTCTTGTTTCCCAGGCTGGAGTGCAATGGCGCGATCTCGGCTCACCGCAACCTCCACCTCCTGGGTTCAGGCAATTCTCCTGCCTCAGCCTCCTGAGTAGCTGGGATTATAGGCACGCACCACCATGCCCAGCTAATTTTTTGTATTTTTAGTAGAGACGGGGTTTCACCATGTTGACCAGGTTGGTCTCGATCTCTCGACCTTGTGATCCACCTGCCTCGGCCTCCCAAAGTGCTGGGATTACAGGCTTGAGCCACCGCGCCCGGCCTCTAGTGGACTTTTTAAAAAGCAGGTCAGGATCAGAAAAGGCAGGAGCTGGAGCACCTGTTCTTTGAAACTTCTTCACTTCATTTATGATTAATAGTCATAGCAGATGAATATCTCTAGCTGAGCAAAAAGGGATCACTACCCAATCATATGAACAGGGTTGGTATATAATCTCACTGCTGTTCACCATGTTGGCCAAGTTGGTCTCGAACTCCTGACCTCAAGTGATCCTCCTGCCTTGGCCTCCAAAAGTGCTGGGATTACAGGCATGAGCCACCACTCCTGACCTATTTTTATTTTTAAAACGTATAATCTGGGTTTTGCTGATCTGTGTAAGATCTTATTAGAAATAAATTCTCCTCCTTAAAATGTTTGAAAAATACCATTTGAGAAATATTAGGCCAGGGGCGGTGGCTCACACTTGTAATCTCAGCACTTGGGAGGTTAAGGTGTGTGGATTGCTTGAGCTCAGGAGTTTGAGACCAGCCTGGGTGATATGGTGAAACCCTGTCTCTACCAAAAATACAAAAAAAATTACCTAGGGGTGGTGGCATGCACCTGTACTCTCAGCTATTGAGAAAACAAAACACACTGAGGTGGGAGGATCTCTTGAGCTTGGGAGGCAGAGGTTGCAGTGATCACAACACAGCAACAGAGTGAGACCCTGTCTCAAAAAATAAAATAAAGGAAGCGAGGGAGAAATACATAGCTACATTAAGCATGTTCTTACTAAACGGTAATTGACTGCCATTGACTACAAAGTCCTCAACTTTTGTTTTTGAGACGGAGTCTTGCTCTGTCGCCCAGGCAGGAGTGCAGTAGCACTATCTTGGTTCACTGCAACCTTCACCTCCCGGGGTCAAGAGATTCTCCTGCCTCAGCCTCCTGAGTAGCTGGGACTACAGGTGTGTACCTGTGTCTGCTGTTTCGTATTTTTAGTAGAAATAGGGTTTTGCCATTTTTGGCCAGGCTGGTCTTGAACTTCTGACCTTAAACGATCCTCCCACCTTGGCCTCCAGAGAAGCTGGGTTTATAGGCATGTGCCACCACACTCCGTCAATTTTTTGTATTTTTAGTAGAGACAGGGTTTCACCCTATTGGTCTTGAATCCCTGACCTCAGGTGATCCTCCCACCTCAGCCTCCCAAGGTGCCGGTTTTACAGGTGTGAGTCACCACGGCCCAGCCTATTTTATTCCTCAATTTCTTTCTTTTTTTCTTTTTTGATACAGAATCTTGTTCTGTCTCCCAGCTGGAGTGCTGTGGCGAGATCTCGGCTCACTGCAACCTCCGCCTCCCAGATTCAAATGGTTCTCCTGCCTCAGCCTCCCGAGTAGCTGGGACTACAGGCACGAGCCACCAGACCCGGCTAATTTTTTGTATTTTAGAGACGGGGTTTCACCATGTTGGCCAGGATGGTCTCGATTTCCTGACCTCGTAATCCGCAGGCCTCGGCTCCCCAAAGTGCTGGGATTACAGGCGCGAGCCATCATGCCCGGCCCTTATTCCTCAATTTCTAAACTTTAATATCCGAGGGGATTCTCTGTCCTCCCTCTTCCCTGAATCCTGGGCCCTAAACCTGAGACAGCTTCATGACTTTGCATCTTGTTGTCCTTTCAGAATATTCCACACAAGAAAGCGGCACAGACGGTTCTGCAGCGTTCAGCTCTCTGGGCACTGAAGACTCTAGGGGCCTGAAGCCTGAGCCCGGGAGCCTGAAGACGCTGGACGACCTCCCAGAGGGGAAGGAGAGGAGCTGCTCTAGGCAGTGCGGGGACGGGGCCGCCAACCCGCTGTGCCCCCAGCCCGAGGCAGGGAGAGGGCTGCTGAGGAAGGCCCTGAGCAAACACAGAGAGAGCGCCTCCGAGGGCCTGGACACTCTGGGCAAGCCTCGGACCCGGACCCGGAGCCCTGCCCTGACCAGCGGGAGAAGCCCCAGCAGGGCGCGCGAGGGGGTCCAAGCCGAGGTCCGGCAGCTGCGCAGGAACGCCAGCTCCGCGGGGAGGCTCCAGAAGGAGTGCAGGGCCTTCGAAGTGTGCCAGCCCTCGGGAAAGAAGCGGCCTAAAAGCCTTGAGTTCACCGTTTCTACAGGGGAGAAGGCGCCCGCAAATCCAGAAATTCTCCTGACTCTGGAGGAAACGAGAGCAGTGAATCTAGACTTAGCAGCTGCCTCCCAGGCAGGGTCCACTCCGGATGGAGGGGCGTCTGCAGACCTGGGGGAAGGCTCTGGGAATCCAGAACGTTCGGTGACCGGTAAATTGTGTTCCTTCCCTGCTTTAATTTATATGGGCCCCAGAGAAAGAACAGCTGTCCGGGCGCAGTAGCTCATGCCTGTAATCCCAGCGCTGTGGCAGGCCTGGGCGGAAGGATTGCTGGAGGCCAGAAGTTTGAGACCACTCTGGTGAACATAGTGAGACCCCCCATCTCTATAAATAAAATTTAAAAAATAAAAACCAGCTCAGCGCCGGGGCTCACGCCTGTAATCCCAGCACTTTGGGAGGCCAAGACAGATGGCTCACCTGAGGTCAGGAGTTGGAGACCAGCCTGGCTAACATGGTAAAATTTCGCTTCTACTAAAAACGAGGTGGCTGGCGTGCGCCTGTTATCTTAGCTACATGGGAGGCTGAGGCAGGAGAATCACGTGAACCTGCGAGGCGGAGGTTGCAGTGAGCCTAGATTGTGCACTCCAGCTTGGGCAACGAGTGAAACTCCATAAAAAATAGATAACCCAAAGGTTGGGCAGGGCGTGGTAGCTCAGTCCTGTAATCCCAGAGCTTTAAGAGGCCAGGGCAGGAGGATCTCTTGACTCCAGGAGTTCCATACTAGGCTAGGAAACACAGTGAGACCCAGCTCTACAAGAAAGAAAGAAAGAAAAAAAAAAAAAAAAGCAATGATGGTACTTGCCTTTAGTCCCAGCTACTCGGGATCGCTTGAGCAGGGAGAGTTCCAGGCTGTGCTTAGCTGAGATGGTGCCACTGCACTCCAGCCTGAGAAATGTAGCCAGACTCCATCTCTGCAAAACTAAAAAAAAAAAAAAAAGAAAAATTATCTGGGTGTGGTGGCATGCACCTGTAATTCTAGGTACTCGAGAAGCTGAGGCAGGAGAATTGCTTGAACCGGGGAGTTCCAGACTGCAGTGAACTGAGATCGTGCCACTGCATTCCAGCCTGGGCAACATAGCAAGATCCTGTCTCTAAACATTTTGGAGGCTGGGCGCAGTGGTCATGGCTGTAATCCCAGCTACTTAGGAGGCTGGGGCAGGAGAATCACTTGAACCCAGTAGGCGGAGGTTGCTGTGAGCCGAGATCTCACCATTGCACTCCAGCCTGGGCAAGAAGACTCCAGCCTGGGCAAGAAGACTCCAGCCTGGGCAAGAAGAGTGAAACTCCGTCTCAAAAAAAAAAAAAAGAAGAAGATCCAGTTGAAAAAGGCAATCAGGTTTTTTTGTTTGTTTGTTTGTTTGTTTTGAGACGGAGTTTCGCTCTTGTTACCCACGCTAGAGTGCAATGGCGCGATCTCGGCTCACCGCAACCTCCGCCTCCTGGACTCAGGCAATTCTCCTGCCTCAGCCTCCTAAGTAGCTGGAATTACAGGCACGCGCCACCACGCCCAGCTAGTTTTTTGTATTTTTAGTAGAGACGGGGTTTCACCATGTTGACCAGGATGGTCTCGATCTCTCGACCTCGTGATCCACCCGCCTCAGCCTCCCAAAGTGCTGGGATTACAGGCTTGAGCCACCGCGCCCGGCTGGCAATCAGGTTTTATTCAGTGGCCAAAGAATGGAGAAGGGGAGCTCACCTCTGCTGGTGCCTGCTCACCAGGGACAGGAGGCAGGGGGCATTTTAGAGTCCAAAGAGAGGAAGGGAGGTAGGTAAACAGGCCCAGGGCAGGATTCCATACACGCAGGCACTGTCTGCAGCGGGCTTCTTCCTACTTTGCATGGAGACAAAACCCTGGTGATCTTCTTTTAGGGGAGGAGCTTTTGGCTTTATAATGATGTGTTAATGATCTAAAGGTAACTGGAGGTCACTTCTGATTTGCACTGGTTTTGCTCGTATCTTAACTTGCTCTGGTTTTTGGCAAGGGATCAGGAGGCTCCAGGCCATCTTTTTTTTTGAGACAGTTCCCAGGCTGGAGTGCAGTGGCACCTCGGCCCACTGCAACCTTTGTCTCCTGGGGTCAAGCAATTCTTGTGCCTCAGCCTCCCACATAGCTGGGATTACAGGCACCTGCCACCATGCCTGGCTGATTTTTTTTTATTTTAGTAGAGACCGGTTTTCACTATGTTGCCCAGGCTGGTCTCAAACTCCTGAGCTCAAGCAATCCACCCATTCTTGGCCTCCCAAAGTGCTAGGATTATAGACGTGAGCCACCACGCCTGGCTGTTGTCTCTTTTTTTTTTTTTTTTTTTTTTTTTTTTTTTTTTTTTTAAGCAGCTATCCCTATAGGTAAAGAGACTAAAAGAAAAACTTTTAAAGAAAAATGCTACCAGTTTAGAGGGAACTGGGGTTGTTCAGGTGACAATTCCATGCTCATGGTGGGGACAGCATTCAGGAACACACTTTTCTTTTTTTTTTTTAAGGCAGAATCTCACTCTGTCTCCTATGCTGGAGTGCAGTGGGTGATCACAGCTTACTGCAGCCTCGACCTCCTAGGTTCAAGTGATCCTCCCACCTCAGCCTTCCAAGTAGCTGGGACTGTAGGTGCTCACCACCACACCTGGTTATTATTATTATTATTTACATGTAGATATAGGGACTTGCTGTGTTGCCCAGGCTGATCTTGAACTCCTGGGCTCAGCGACCCACCTGCCTTGGTCTCCCAAAGGGCTATGATTACCGGTGTGAGCCACTACCCCCAGCATTTCTCAGCCTCCTTTGCAGTTAGGTGTGGCTATTTGACCAGAATATATCCAGAGGGATGTAAATGGAGGTGTCACAATCAGCTTCTAGAAACTTCTAGAGCCTTCCCTAAGGGATACTATTCCCCTCTGTTCCTCCATCTTGCTGCCTGGCATGAGGATGTCACCTTCTGAGAGCATGAGCTTGAGGACAAACTTGGTGGAGCAGAGCAATAGCAGAAGCCCAGGGTCCTGCCCCACGGATATCCCTGGGGCCACCTGTGTATCACATATGTGAGAGGCACAAACTTCTATCCTGTTGAGGCTACTGTTATTTGGGCATTTGTATTATTCATAACCAAACAATTTTAATGACTACCTCAGCAGTAAAAGATAGATACTTAGGACATTAACCAATAGGCTTTCCTTCCTGCCCCGAGAAAGGCAAATGGTAGAGTCTCAACCCCATGATGACACATTGCTGTGAAATTACTGTGAGAAGGGAGTATTTTTAACCACTCTTGGGAGGCGGGGAAGCAGCTGTGTGGACAATGAATTCTATCACGAGGGAAGAATCATTTCTGCGGGCTACTAGCAGTCTCGTTTACAGATGTGCTGTGAATTTCTGGGACACTGTGAGGTGAGGAGGTAGGAGGGGCTGAAGGATTATGTTCCTGTTCTTCTCATATCTCCTGGTGTGTCTGCTTATGAAGTTGCAGAGGTCTTGGGGTAGAGTTATTCATAACTGTTATGTCTTCATGATGAGTTCCACTCTTTAGCCCTATAATGTCTCCTTCTTTGCTTTTTCTTTTAAGATAGCATCTCACTCTGTTACCCAGGCTGGAATGCAGTGGTGTAATCCTAGCTCACTGCAGCTTCAACCTCCTGGGCTCAAGCAACCCTCCTGTCTCAGTCTCCCAAGGAGCTGAGATGAGAGGTGTGCACCATCACACCTGGCTACTTTTTAAATTTTTGGCAGAGAGGGGGTCTGACCATGTTGCCAAGGCTGGTCTCAAACTCCTGAGCTTAAGCGATCCTCCCACCTTGGCCTCCCAAATTACGGGAATATAAGCATGAACCACCCAGCCCCTTCTTTGATTTCATTTAATGCTTGTTGAACTCAGATGTGAGCAATGGTTCATTTATTCCTTCATTCAATACTCATTTTCCAAATACTTACCATATGCCAGGTACTCTGCTAGGCGCTTGGCTCCTTCTAGGAGTGAGGCACACAAGTCACCATCCCCTGGAATCCCCTACTCGTGTTATGGGCAGCTAGGGATGGGTTAAAGTGGCAAAGAAACACTAGTGGGAATGTCTCTTTCCTTTGTATCACCTGCTAGATCCATGTCTGTGCAGGAGGAATAGCACAAGGCCATGGGTCTTTCTTTAGCATAAATGCCCAAGAATTCCAAGTCTAAGGAATGTCTGAGGCCTAGCTTGTAGCTCTCAGTCCCAGTGGATGGTTTACTGCCCCACTGGATGGAAGTCAGGGGAGGACAAGCTAGGGAGTAGGCAGAGTCTAACTGAGCACTTGTGCATGCCAGGCAAGGGCTCTCTCCGTTGTGCTTGGTGATACCTCTGTGTAAACAACTTGGGTTTGCTATTCAGGGGATTTTTCCACTGCATGTCCCCAGGAAGGCCACCAGACAAGGCTTCGAGTCCCCACTGCCACGCCCTGGAAGGAGGCCCAGTTGGTGGTACCTGCCTGCATGATTCCTGCAGCTGCCCCAAGGCAGCTTCTGGACACCCCGAGGCCTCAGGCAGCTGCTCACCTGGCTGTCCCCGGTGCCAGGCCTCCCATGAAAGGAAGAACACAGGAAGCCTAAGCCCCCAGCCCCTGCCACAGTGTAAGCGCCACTTGAAGCAGGTCCAGCTGCTCTTCTGCAAGGATCATGGTGAGCCCATCTGCCTCATCTGCAGCATGAGTCAGGAGCACCGAGGCCACCGAATGTGCCCCATTGAGGAGGCCGCCCTGGAACAAAAGGTAGGCACTCCTTGCCTGTGGGCCCTTCTCTACCCGGCACACAGACACACCAGGCCTTGCTTCATTGTCCCAAAAAACTCTGTGATGTTGGTATATTAGCCAGAACTCTTGAGCTGGAAATGACAAGAACACAATATAAACCAGGCCAGCAAAGAGGGGAGTTACAGGTTTATGTTGCTCGGGGGTCCAGGGGGTACTTGCTTCAGGTATGGCTGAATCCAGAGACTCACAGGAAGTGCCTCTCAGCTCTGCTGCCCTTGGCAGTGCAGCCATTCTTCCTCTTTCCTGAGCACCCCTCCCCTTGCCACCCTCAGCCTTGCTACCAGAAGGAGATGTTCCCCTCCAGAATTGGCATGAGCTAAAGATGGCAGGAGCCAAATTCAAGCTTTTCAAAAGTGCTGTTTTTCCAGGAGCAAATTCAGGAGCAGCTGAAGTATCTGAAGAAGTTGAGAAAGTCTGGGGAGGAGGAGCGATCCTACGGGAATGAGAAGGCAGTGAGCTTTCTGGTAAGGCCAGAGCGGGCCAGTGGCCCACCCTTCCCTGGGAGGAGGGTGGGAGCAGTGAGCAGGGGTCCCCGAGATTCTGCTGTGGTTCACAGGGCAGCAGGGATGGCCACCTGCTCTCAGTAGGCAGAGGGGTAACCAGCAGCTAAGGGTGAGCTCATCCCTGTAGAGGGAGACCACCCCCAGCAGGCAGGGGTCACCTCTGAGGATCCTGACATGCTTTCTCATACTCACCACAAGATGATATAAAGCAACCCACAAAGGTGACTATCACAGAAAGATGGGATTGAGGAAAGGGGAGGGAGAACACTTTTGTTGTTGAGATGGAGTCTTGCTCTTTTGCCAGGCTGGAATGCAGTGGCACAATCTTGGCTCACTGCCACCTCTGCCTCCCGGGTTTAAGCAAATCTCCTGCCTTAGCCTCTTGAGTGGCTGGGATTGCAGGTGCATACCACCATGCCTGGTTAATTTTTGTGTTTTTAGTAGAGACAGGGTTTTGCCATGTTGGCCAGGCTGCTCTCAAACTCTTGACCTCAGGTAATCTACCCTCTTTGGCCTTGCAAAGTGCTGGGATTACAGGCATGAGCCACCATGCCCAGCCAATAGCACTTTTAACTTTAAATTCTCCTGAGTGTCTGTGTGTGTGTGTGTTGTGTGTTTGTGTGTGTTTTTCCAAGACAAATTCTCGCTGTCACTCAGGCTGGAGTACAGCGATATAATCTAGGCTTGCTGCAATCTCCACCTTTCAGGTTCAAACAATTCTCCTGCCTCAACCTCTCAAGCAGCTAGGATTATAGGTGCCTGCCACTGTACCTGGCTAATTTTTGTATTTTCAGTAGAGACAGCGTTTCACCATGTTAGCCAGGCTGGTCTCAAACTCCTGACCTCAGGTCATCCACCTGCCTCGGCCTCCCAAAGTGCTAGAATTACAGGTGTGAACCACTGGGTCCAGCCTGTTTCTTTTTGTTTTTGTTTTGTTTTCTGTTCATTTCTTTGTTTGAGATGGAGTCTCACTCTGTCATCCAGGCTGAAGTGCAGTGGTGGGATCTTGGCTCACTACAAACCTTAGCCTCCCCAGTTCAAGTGATTCTCCTGCCTCAGTCTCCCGAGTTGCTGGGACTACAGGCATGTGCCACCATTCCCAGCTGAGTTTTGTCTTTTTTTTTTTTTTTTTTTTTTTTGAGATGGAGTTTCGCTCTTGTTACCCAGGCTGGAGTGCAATGGCGTGATCTCGGCTCACCGCAACCTCCGCCTCCTGGGCTAAGGCAATTCTCCTGCCTCAGCCTCCTGAGTAGCTGGGATTACAGGCACACGCCACCATGCCCAGCTAATTTTTTGTATTTTTAGTAGAGACGGGGTTTCACTATGTTGATCAGGATGGTCTCGATCTCTTGACCTCGTGATCCACCCGCCTCAGCCTCCCAAAGTGCTGGGATTACAGGCTTGAGCCACCGCGCCCGGCCGAGTTTTGTCTTTTTAGTAGAAACAGAGTTCCCCATGTTGGCCAGGCTGGTCTCGAACTGCTGACTTCAAGTGATCTGCCTGCCTTGGCCTCCAAAGTGCTGGGATTACAGACATGAGCCACTGGACCCAGCCCAAATTTCCCCATTTTATAAGACAACGTTTATATAGGATTAGGGACCCACTCAACTCCAGTGGGACCACATCTTAACTAATTACATCTGCTAGAACTCTATCTCCAAAGATCACATTCTGAGGAATGGGGGCTAGGGCTTCAACATATAAATTTTGGAGGGGACACAGATAAGCCATAATACCAGGTTTAAGGACATTTTCTCAGAGCTAGCCCAAGCCATGCTCAGTCTGTCCTGGAAGGTTGTAGCCAATATTGCCTCCTGTTCTGGAATCTAGGCCTCCAAGAGGCAGAAGAAGCCCACCTCTTAGCCACCTTCAGGAGGTGGACTTCTGGGGGTTCCTGGACATACATGTCCACCCACAGCACAGACCCCCATACCTCCTCATCCTCTGCTCCCCAGAAAGAAACTGAAATGCTGAAGCAGCGGGTACAGAGGAAGCTGGAGCAACTGTACCACTTTCTGGAGCAGCAAGAGCATCTCTTTTTGGCCTCACTGGAGGACCTGGGCCAGATGGTTGGGCAGTTCAGGAAGTCATACGACACCTGTGTGTCCCGAGACATCACCCTGCTTGACACGCTAATTGGGGAGCTGGAGGCCAAGCAGTGCCAGTCAGAATGGGAGCTTCTGCAGGTGGGTGTGCCTCGGCCCAGCTTTCTCAGGCTCCCTGTGCCCATCAGGATGCCTCAGGCTCCCAGTTCTGCCTTCAGCTCTGCTGGAGCCAGTGGATGAGTCCCCTAAGGCCTGATCTTGGTGACCCACAATGTCTCTTGAGGCCAGTCACCTTTGATGAGGTCTGACAGGAGCCCAGGATGGTCCAGCATCCCGGGGATCCCTGCCATTGCCCAGAAGGGATTAGCAGGGTTTGAGGGCCATTCCCTTGCAGGCCTCGCTACCTGGGATGCCTGAATTCCTGTGGCTAGAATTAGAATTGAAGAGAGGCGCTCCACTCACTGACACCCCAGGGCAGGGAGCCCCGGTTTAAGTGCAGGGGGCAGCTAAAAGTCTGGGAGCCCGGGAGTAGAGGTCAGGAATCCGCACAGCCTCTAGGAGACTGGTAACAAACAATTTTCTTCTTCTCTCTTCTAGGACATCAGAGACATCTTGCACAGGTACAGAGAGGTCCCGTGGTGTACCCTGGGGTGTCTTGCAGGAAACATTTGGTGGAGACAGTCCTAGAATGGACCTGGGAGGGAGACGTTCCCAACCTATGTCGAGGAGTCTGCGATTCCAGACTCCTCCCTTTTTCTGCAGCTTCCCAGAGCCTTTCTGGATTTGCGTAGGGAGAAGGGGATCTGGTCAGCAGGGAGGCTGACCAGGTGTGGGGCTGCAGACTGGGAAGGGTGAATTCAGCCTATTCTATTGAAATGGGATGGAGGCTCCCTAAGAAACCATCTGAGTGGACTGTGTCCCAAGAAATTCACCTTCTGAAGACTGCTCACACAGGCCTGCTGGTGGCCTTGGGGAGCTTGTTTGCAGTGGAGCTGTGGTAAACCCAGCAGGAAGGGGAGGAAAGGGACAAGAAGAGGCTAAGCCTTAAAATCACTAAGAGCGGGCCGGGCGCGGTGGCTCACGCCTGTAATCGCAACACTTTGGGAGGCTGAGGCGGGTGGATCACGAGGTCAAGGGATCAAGACCATTCTGGTCAAGATAGTGAAACTCCGTCTCTACTAAAAATACAAAAAAATTAGCTGGGCATGGTGGCGCGTGCCTGTAATCTCAGCTACTCAGGAGGCTGAGGCAGAATTGCCTGAACCCAGGAGGCGGAGGTTGCGGTGAGCCGAGATCGCGCCATTGCACTCCAACCTGGGTAACAAGAGCGAAACTCCGTCTCAAAAAAAAAAAAAAAAAAAATCACTGGGAGCTTTACAAAATCCCAGTGTCCTTTTGTGTCTGGCTTCTTCACTTAGCATGATGTCTTCAGGCTTCATCCATGTTGTAACATGTATCAGAATTTCTTTCTTTCTTTTTTTTTTGAGACGAGTCTCGGCACTGTCGCCCAGGCTGGTGTGCAGTGGCTCAATCTTGGCTCACTGCAACCTCCGCCTCTTGGGTTCAAGCGATTCTCCTGCCTCACCCTCCTGAGTAGCTGGGATTATAGGTGCCCACCACCATGACCAGCAAATTTTTTGTATTTTTAGTAGAGTCGGGGTTTCTCCATTTTGGTCTCGAACTCCTGATCTTAGGTGATCCACCTGCCTTGGCCTCCCGAAGTACTGGGATTACAGGCCTAAGCCACCTCGCCCAGCCTTTTTTTTTTTTTTTTTCCTGAGACAAGGTCTCACTCCCATTATGCAAGCTGGAGAGCAGCAGCACAGACACAGCTCACTGCAAACTCAACTTCCTGGGCTTAGGTGATTCTCCCACCTTAGCCTCCTGAGTAGCTGGGACTACAGGCAAGTGCTACCGCTCCTGGCTAATTTTTTGTATTTTTAATAGAGATAGGGTTTCCCTATGTTGCCTAGGCTGGTTTTGAACTCCTAGGCTCAAGTGATCCAGCTGCCTTCGCCTCCTGAAGTGCTAGGATGACAGGCGTGAGCCACTGCACCTGGCCTATTTTCTTCTGTTGTTGCTGTTTTTATAATAGCCATCCTAATGGATGTGAAATGGTATTTTGTTATGTTTTTACCCTTAATTATCATTTTTATTTCAACAGAAAGAAAAAGACTAGGGAAGTATAATCAATATGCCATAGATAATTCTGGTAGATAATATCAATGTCATTTTGAGTCCATTCTGAAAACTTGTGGTTTTGATATCCACGTTTTTATTTATTTATTTATTTTTTGAGACGGAGTTTTGCTCTTGTTGCCCAGGCTGGAGTGCAATGGCGCGATCTCGGCTCACCGCAACCTCCGCCTCCTGGGTTCAGGCAATTCTCCTGCCTCAGCCTCTTGCTGATATCCACGTTTTTAAAGCACCCCAGTGCATGCCAATCTGTGGCCAAAGTTGAGGACCAGCATTTAGATCTCCGAATCCAGGGAAGACTTCTTTGTGTAGCTCAGGCTGGGCTGGGTGTGCCCTGTGGAGAATGTGGCTCATTCCCAGCTCACAGGTACTTAGGCCATCCTCTCTATCTAGCCCTCTCTGGTCAACAGTCTTTTGTCTCTAGGGCCAAGAAGGTGCCTGTCCCTCAACGGTGGACCACTCCTCAAGAGATAAAAGAAAAGATCCACCTGCTCCACCAGAAGTCAGAGTTTGTGGAGAAGAGTGCAAAGTACTTCTCAGGTAGATGGGCTTGGGAGAATATTGGAGGCGAATGCTCACTTCCTCCCTAAGATCCACACAGCACAGAGTCCCTCACTTCCCTCCTCCTCCCCTGGTCTTGCTAACCTGCTTTCAGCCTCTCCCCAGTCTCCCCCTGCCCAAGGGACCTAACTTGAGCTTCTCTTTGCTCCCTTTCTCACATTTTAGAAACCCTGCGTTTGGAAATGGAAATGTTCAATGGTGAGTCCAGCAGTGGCGGTGTGTGCTGGCCTGGGGTTGTTGCAATGTTCCCTTGTGCTGTTGACTTCAGGGGCACTCTTTAGAAGACAAAAAAAAAAATACCCACCTGGAGCCAAGGCAGGAGAAAGGTCATGCCAGCCCCCCCGCCCCATGCCTGACTCATTGGCTGAGTTGAGTCTTTAGACTACAGTCCCCAACGCCACCTGGGTTCCTGGGAAGAACGGGATTATACCCAACATAGCATACAGGGTCCTAAGCAAGGGGTTCCTTGTCTTTCCTTGTCGTCAGGATAGTGTAATTTAGCCCCTCTGAATGGGAATGCTCAGGACTTTTTCCCTATCTCATTTTTCTCCATAGTTCCAGAGCTGATTGGCGCTCAGGCACATGCTGGTAAGTGCCCAAATCAAGGCGAGCGGCCCTGGCCTGCTGGATCCCTGTGCTCTCCCCCACCATGTTCCAGAACTATCCTGTCCCTGTTTCCTGCAGTTGGGGAGAACCCTGTGGGGATATTGCCCATGGACCCCTAGTTAGGTGTTCAAATTTTCTTTGCAGTTAATATGATTCTGGATGCAGAAACTGCTTACCCCAACCTCATCTTCTCTGATGATCTGAAGAGTGTAAGACTTGGAAACAAGTGGGAGAGGCTACCTGATGGCCCGGAAAGATTTGACAGCTGCATCCTTGCTCTGGGCTCTCCGAGCTTCACCTCCGGCCGCCATTACTGGGAGGTGGAGGTCGGAGACAAGACAGGGTGGGTCCTGGGAGCCTGCAAGGCATCCATTGGCAAGAAAGGGAACATAACTCTGTCGCCAGATAAAGGCTACTGGGTGGTGATAATGATGAAAGAAAATGAGTACCAGGCATCCAGTGTTCCCCCGACCCGCCTGGTAATAAAGGAGCCTCCCAAGCGTGTGGGCATCTTTGTGGACTGCAGAGTTGGAAACATTTCCTTTTACAATGTGACAGCCAGATCCCACATCTATACATTCTCCAGTTGCTCTTTCCCTGGGCCCGTTCAACCTGTCTTCAGCCCTGGGACACACGATGGAGGAAAGAACACAGGCCCTCTGACTATCTGTCCAGTGGGTGGTCAGGGGCCTGAGTGAATGCCCAACACTGCATCTCTCTTCCAGCTGCCAGTCTTTTGTCTTGCATTCACACACTCAGCAGTCATGGAGTATCTACTGGGTGCCAGCTACTATAGTAAATGCAATGAATAACAAAATAGTTACTCTGCCCAAGGAGCTTACCCGACCATAGCAGAGGTAAGTTAGGTATGAAGACATTGGTAAATCCAGGTGAAGACGTACTGATGACACACCACGGATTTGAGAGAAGGAAGGATGGGGTTGTTGCACAATCAGTCCTTGGTGAACGGCACTCTCCTGAACAGAAGATTTGGCCCTCATTTTACCTCAGAACCCCATGGCAAGGGTATGTCCCCTTGTTGTCGCTGCCTGTCTTGAGGACAGGGGGTGCCTAGAGAAACACAAGAGACTGGATTGGGATAGAATATTTGTGTACCTGGATTAATGAACTATAATTCTTTTTTGTTTGTTTTTGAGACAGAGTCTCACACTGTTGCCTGTGCTGGAGTGCAGTGGCGCGATCTCAGCTCACTGGAACCTCTGCCTCCTAGTTCAAGTGATTTTTCTGCCTCGGCCTCCCAAGTAGCTGAGATTACAGGCTTCTGCCACCATGCCTGGCTAATTTTTTGCATTTTTAGTAAAGATGTGGTTTCACTTTGTTGGACAGGCTGGTCTCGAATGCCTGACCTCAGGTCATCCACCTACCTCGGCCTCCCAAATTGCTGGGATTACAGGCATGAGTCACAGCACCCAGCTTTATTTTGTGTGTGTGTGGTTTTTTGTTTTTTTTTTTTTTGAGATGGAATCTTGGTCTGTCATCCAGTGCAGTGGCACGATCTCAGCTCACTGCAACCTCCACCTCCCAGGTTCAAGTGATTATCCTGCCTTAGCCTCCTGAATAGTTGGGATTATAGATGCCCACCACCATGCCTGGCTAATTTTTTGTATTTTTAGTTGAGACAGGGTTTCATCATGTTGGCCAGGATGATCTCAAACTCCTGACCTCAGGTGATCTGCCCGTCTTGGCCTCCCAAAGTGCAGGGATTACAGCCGTGAGCCACCGTGCCCAGGCATGATTCTTAAGAGTATTGACTGGGCCTGATGAATAAACAATTTAGAAAATTTAGTCATTTGCATTTGTCACTCAATCACTGTGGAATTCCCTTTTCCAAATGCATTTCATGAAGCAGATGGGACTACTGTATGGAAAAAACATTTGGCATGTATTCCAAGTGTCAGACTATTCTGTCTTGGTTTGTATGGAAAAATCTGTGGGTTGTGGAATATTAGGTTCTACTTTACACATATCCCACCCATTTGTCTTTTGTTTATAGAGATGTAAAGGGGCTGGACACGGTGGCTCACACCTGTAATCTCAGCCTTTTGGGAGGCAAAGGTGGGTGGATCATTAGAGACCAGCCTAAACAACATGGTGAAAACCCGTCTCTACAAAAAATACAAAAATTAGCCTAGGGATGGGGGTGGGAGGATGGCTTGAGCCCAGGAGATCAAAGCTGCAACAGTGAGCTGAGATGCAATCCAGCCTGGGCAACAGAGTGAGTCCTTATCTCTAAAAAAAAAGGTGGGTGTGAAAAGAAAAAACAAATGAAGATTAAATTTCAAACTCCTATGCCAACTTCTCTATCTTCACTACCAGAGTCTAGATTGGACTCACAGATACTCCATGGCTATGATGAGAGCAGGTAAATTTGCTGTGCTTTTGTTAAGGAGTTTCATTCTACAAGAGTAAGCCACGTGCCAGGAGGGTTCACGTGACCTATACTTAGCCGTTCCCTGTGGCGGGTCCTGTGTTACTCCCAATTTTCCCTTGTTATAAGCTTTCCATGAACATCTTTGTGTATACTTTCCACCACCTTACCATATACATATTTTTTCTCTTGTGTTATTCCTAAAGTGGTTCCTGAATGTGAAATATCTGATAATGCATGCTATGGTTTGCCATACCATCCTTTGCAAAGATTTTAAAAATATTTCATGCCCAAAGCAATGACTGTAATTTAAAGGTTTTTGCTGATTTAATAGGGATGTAATGATGCCTTACTTCTGTTTTATTTCATTACCTGTTAATGAGGCTGTGAATTTTTCCATGAGAATTTCTGCTTTTTGCTTCATCCTGTGGAAATTGTACAGATCCTTTGAATACTTGCTATTTGGAATCTAGATATTGAACTTCATTGTTTGCTGTACTTCTTCATACATGTTTTAGTCTGTGCGCACTGGCTCATGCCTGTAATCCCAACACTTCTGGGAGTCGGAGGTGGGCTGATTGCTTGCATTCAGAAGTTCAAGACCAGACTGGCAACATGGCGAAACCCTGTCCCTAGCAAAAAATACAAAAAATAGCCAAGCATGGTGGTGAGCACCTGTAGTCCCAGCTGCTCACGAGAGTGAGATGGGAGAATCGCTTGAGTCTTGGAGGCAGAGGCTGCAGTGAGCCGAGATTGTGCTACTGCACCCCAGCTTTAGAAACGGAGACCGTGTCTAAAAAAAAAAAGGAGGAAAACAAAAACATAACTGTTTTAGATCTTTTTGAATCTGTCAAACGAAATGTTTCTGCCTAGTGGTTATGTTCATGGAGATCTAAATCCATACTATAAAATTCACCCCTTTAAAGTGAAAAATTCAGTGTTTGTAGTATATGCATTGTGTGTATATATCAGCACTATCTAATTCCAGAACATTTTATCATATGTATTAGCAGTTGCTCCCGATTCTCCGTCATTCTCCAGCCCCTGTAAACCACTAAGCTACTTGCTGTCTCTATGATTTTGCCTATTCTGTATATATGATGTTAAGTGGAATCATACAATATGTGGTTTTTTGACTGACTTCTTTATCTTAGTATTTTTTCATGGTCCATTCATGTTGTAGCATGTGTCAATGCTTTATGCTTTATCACTGAATAATAATGCATTATATGATTACATGTATATATTACTACTACTTCATCCACTCATTAGTTGGGGGACATTGGGTTGTTTCCACTTTTAGGCTACTGTGAACACATTTTTGTGTGAACACACATTTTCATTTCTTTTGAGTTTACGCCTTGAAATTGAACTGCTTGTTCATATGGTAACTATGTTGAGAAACTGCCAAATTGTTTTCCAAAGGAGCTGGACCATAGCACATTCCCACCAGCAATATAGGAGGGTTTCATTTTCTCCACATTTTCACCAATAACACTGTTATATTTTTTATTATAGTTATTCTAGTGTGTGTGAAGTGGTATCTCATAAGTTTTATTTGTATTCAAGATATTTTAAGTTGGAAATTCTTTCTTCACTTAGTTTTACTCCTAGATGATCAGATACTAAATTATCTCACCTTTCAAATATTTGGGTTTTTTTCAACTACAAAAGCAACACTCATTATTTGAAAACATATGCATTTATAAAACATAAAATGTGACAAATTCTTTCTAATCCTACTCCTTAGAGACAGCCAGTATTAACTCTCTCTCTTTTTCCTGGCCAACATTTCTGGAAAGCAACTGTTAACTCTTGTTGTTGCATATTCCTCTGGTTAAAAAAAAAAAAAAAAAAAAAAAAAAAAAAAGCCTAGGCTGGGCGTAGTGGCTCACGCCTGTAATCCCAGCACTTTGGGAGGCGAAGGCAGGTGGATCATGAGGTCAGGAGTTTGAGACCAGCCTGCCCAATCTGTTGAAACCCCGATTCTACTAAAAATACAAAAATTAGCTGGGCATGGTGGTGCATACCTATAGTCCCAGCTACTCAGGAGGCTGAGGCAGAACTGCTTGAACCTGGGAGGCGGAGGCTGTAGTGAGCCAAATATTTTATTTTTAAAGCGACTTATGCATACTGCTTTTTTTTTTTTTTAAATAAGTGGTCATCTAGGAATTGCTTGAGATATGCATACTGTTTTATAACTTGCCTTGTCACTTAATTTATCTCTTTTTAATGGTTTTGTTGGCTTCCACTGTATAAACATCTCATGATTTAACCAATTTTTTTTTTTTTTAAGACAGAGTCTCACTCTGTTACCCAGCCTGGGGTGCAGTGCTACAATCTCGACTCACTGCAATTCTGCCTCCTGAGTTCAAGCAATTATCCTGCCTCAACCTCTTGAGTAGCTGGAACTACAGGCGAGTGCCACTACATCCAGCTAATTTTTGTATTGTTAGTAGAGATGGGGTTTCACCATGTTGGCCAGGCTGGTCTCGAACCCCTGATCTCAAGTGATCCACCCAACTTGGCCTCCCAGATCGTTGGCTGATGTAACCAATTTTGTAACATTTCAAACCAACTATACCAACTGTGTGGTTTTTATTTAAAATAAGTTGAGAATTGAATGTTACAATGTTTATCAACATTTTACTTCTTAAAATAGGAAGTGCCATATTGCCCTGTTAAATAATTGTATTAATTTGCTTTCAGAATACTGGTTATTTTTGTAATTATTATTTTAAATTTCATATCTTTATATGTGACAACCACCTTTTCATGTTAAAAGGCATTTATAGATATATTGTTTACACCCTTAATTTATATCATTTCAAATCCATTTATGACAGTTATTTCACAGATTAGATTATAAAAACAGGATTCTATCAAATTGTTTTAAGAATCTTTATAGTTCCTTCCTCCCCTCTACCCCAAGTCACCCAGGCTGGTGTGCAGTGCTGCAATCTTGGCTCACTGCAGTTCTGCCTCCTGAGTTCAAGCAATTAGCCTGCCTCAATCTCCCAAGTAGTTAGAACTACAGGCTCTTGCCACTACACCCAGCTAATTTTGTATCTTTTAGTAGAGATGGGGTTTCACTACGTTAGTCAGGCTGGTCTTGAACTCCTGACCTCAGGTGATCCACCCGCCTCAGCCTCCCAAAGTGATGGGATTACAGGCATGAGCCACCACACCTGGTCTATTGTTCTATTTTTTATTTTAAGGTTTTTTTTAAAAAAAATTTTTTTTTTTTTTTTTTTTTTTTTTGAGATGGAGTCTTGCTCTGTCTCCCAGGCTGGAGCGCAATGGCACAATCTCAGCTCACTGCAACCTCCGCCTCCCGGGTTCAAGCACTTCTCCTGCCTCAGCCTCCAGAGCAGCTGGGATTACAGGTGTGTATGCCATTATGCCCGGCCAATTTTTTGTATTTTAGTAGAGACAGTTTCACCATGTACATCAGGATGGTCTCTATCTCCTGACCTTGTGATCCACCCACCTTGGCCTCCCAAAGTGCTCTGATTACAGGCGTGAGCTACCACGCCCAGCTATTTTAATGTTTTATTATTTTTAGTTACCAGATTGACACTTGCTCATTAAATGAAGTGACAAAATGAAAAAAAAAGTATAATCTCCCCTTTTCTCTATTTTCAGTTCAAGCAATTCTTGTGCCTAAGTCTCCCAAGTAAATGGGATTACAGTCTCCCGCCACCAAGCCCGGCTAATTTTTGTATTTTTAGTAGAGATGGGGTTTCACCAGGCTGGTCTCGAATTCCTAACCTCCAGTGATCGGCCCACCTCGGGCTTCCCAAAGTACTGGAATTACAGGAAGGAGCCAATGCGCCTGGCCATCCCATGAGTAACCATTTTAGTAGTCTAATGTGTATCCCTCAACACAAACATACACAAGGTGTTTTGTTTGTTCCAAAAATATAATTACGCATAATATATGTAGCTCAGAAATTTTTAAATGTAATAGTTTATGGCCATCCCTCTAGGTGTACATATAGTTCCAATCCATTGTTTTTCATAGCTATGTAATTTTCAGAATATGAATGCACCAATTTATTCATTTCCGTATGTAGGAACATGCATGTCATTTCTAGTTTTTGTCACTACAAATAATTCTACAAGAAATTTGTAGATATCACATTCACATATGAGACTGTGAAGGTCAAAGGGTACATATGTGTACTTTTAATATGTATTACAAGATGACTTCACACACCACACCAGACAAAGGAGTGCCTATTTCTCCACCTTCTTTGACAGGTGAAAACTGTTGTTCCTTTTAAAAGTGATAATCTTGACTAATAGTGTGGTTAAGTATCCTTTCAAACGTTAATGACCAATTAGTTTTCCATCTCTCGGGAAGAGCTCCTCATTGCCTTTGCTTTTGGTCAGTTGGTAAGGGCTTATTTCCTGTTGGGAATGCCTAACCCAGGCGTCCTCAAACTACGGCCCCATGCGGCCCCCTGAGGCCATTTATCCGGCACCCCGCCGCACTTCAGGAAGGGGCACCTCTTTCATTGGTGGTCAGTGAGAGGAGCACAGTATGTGGCGGCCCTCCAACGGTCTGAGGGACAGTGAACTGGCCCCCTGTGTAAAAAGTTTGGGGACGCCTGGTCTAATCCTTTGCGTAATCTTTACGACTATCTTCCAGTCTATTTCTCCTTCGTTAACAGACTCAAGAAAAACGTTTTAAAAGATAAAATCGGCCGGGCGCGGTGGCTCAAGCCTGTAATCCCAGCACTTTGGGAGGCCGAGGAGGGTGGATCACGAAGTCGAGAGATCGAGACCAACCTGGTCAACATGGTGAAACCCCGTCTCTACTAAAAATACAAAAAATTAGCTGGGCATGGTGGCCTGTGCCTATAATTCCAGCTACTCAGGAGGCTGAGGCAGAATTGCCTGAACCCAGGAGGCGGAGGTTGCGGTGAGCCGAGATCACGCCATTGCACTCCAGCCTGGGTAACAAGAGCGAAACTCCGTCTCAAAAAAAACACAAACAAACAAAAAATAATAATAAAAAAATAAAATCACACAGGTTTATATTTTACTTCAAGACATCTCAGTTATCTGTATTGCTTTATAGTTCAAACCACACTGCTTTGATTAGAGGCGGCTTTTTAGTAAGTTTTTTGTTTTTTTTTTTTTTTTTTTTTTTTTAGACGGAGTTTCGCTCTTGTTACCCAGGCTGGAGTGCAATGGCGCGATCTCGGCTCACCGCAACCTCCGCCTCCTGGGTTCAGGCAATTCTCCTGCCTCAGCCTCCTGAGTAGCTGGGATTACAGGCACGCACCACCATGCCCAGCTATTTTTTTTGTATTTTTAGTAGAGACGGGGTTTCACCATGTTGACCAAGATGGTCTCGATCTCTTGACCTTGTGATCCACCCGCCTCGGCCTCCCAAAGTGCTGGGATTACAGGCTTGAGCCACCGCGCCCGGCGTTTAGTAAGTTTTGATCTGAAAAGGCAAACATTCCTTATTTTTCTACAATGTCTTGTTGCCACGCAGATTTCATACTCGTTTTTTTGTAACACATTTTAAGCCATCGTTAAACGATTAGTCAGCTATAACTAACTTTAAGAAACAATCATTTATACTTTTACTTTTGTCAGCCTTCTGGAGGCTAGTGTTACATCGAGAAATAAGGCCATCCCTGCCCACAAGTTGTCCCAACCCTGATCAATGCCTCACTGGGGAATGAATCCAGTATGAAAACAACGCGCACACACAGAATTGCGTTCGGCTTCCGTAGGCAGCTGAAATTGAGAAGGGAATCAGAGACAGTAAGAGACGGTCAATTAGCATTTCTTTAAAAACAAGACGGCCGGTGTAAAAGTTAGCAAGTTGGAGTGTGAAACGTAGGTTACCCTAGCTCTAACCTATGGCAGTCCCCAGAGCAGAGGCGGAGTCGTATGCCGGCCTCCCCTTCGCCGCCACCGCAGTCTTTCTACTAGAAAACCGCAGTAAAAGGCGGAAACCGTGGAGGGGTGATGCAAACCTTCCGGTCCGAGAGGTAGCTCGCTTCCGGTGAAGCCTCGAGGGGTGGGGTCCCGTCCGGCCCCAACCGCCGCGCCTGAGGTTGTTCGTTGGTTGTTTGCATTCGAACTGCATTTCCCAGTAGGCCCTGGGGTTGGAGTGGCCGTAGCTGGAGTGGTGCCAGCCCGTCATGGATGACCGGAGCCAGCCGCCTGCCTTCCGTCTTCGAGGCAGAGCCACAGAGAGACCAGCTGCAGCCGTCCTGGCCTCCCTCTGGCCCTGAGAGCTCCCCTGGCTTGCCCCAAGCCTCGCCTTCCCAAGCGCAGACTTCGCGCTCCGAACGGGGAGACCAGGCTTCTGCACCGGAAACAAAACACCGGTTGTGACGTCACAGCTGCAGAGCGCCCGGCCTCCCAGAAGGCACTGCGTTCCTGGCGTCCTCAACTGGCGGCGGCGCCCACGAATAGTCACCGCGGCTTGTGAGGGCGCTCGGAAGGGCGAGGGGAGGGCTTGGCCGCTCGCGCCTAGTTTTCCTGTCTCTCCCGGAACCTGAGTCTCTGAGCCGTCCCCAGCGAATGCTCAGGGATTGCAGAGGCCCCGAGAGGTGAGGGGCTCTTTCAGGGCGGGAACCAGGCTGAGGGCGCCTCTGGGGAGCCGAGCGTGTACGTTGCTGAGGGAGCAAGGCGGGATAGGGAGCCTGGTAAGCGCCTCAGGCAGGGGCGCCCGCTGGGCTTAATGGTAAAGGTGTTCCTTTACCAGCGGAGAGGCCCCAGAGTGACCCTGGCCCGGAGGGCCCTAGTGGGATGTCGTCTGCCGCTCTCAGCAGAGCTTTGACGCCGGAGAGCAGTCGGCAGGCGGTGCGTGGACCCCTCCTTGGCCTTGCGTCTGCTCCCCGGGAGAGTCACCAACCGCCTCCGCCTCACAAAGGGCATCGGAGGGAGCTTCGGTCCGAGGGGTACAGTATGGCCAGATTCAGTGACCAACGTACTTCTAGGCAGATGTCCTCGGTATTGACCCCAGATTTCCTGTCTTCTAGCCCGTTGCTTTCTCCAAGCCTGATTTAACCTCTTCGTGGTGGGTTTAACACACCGTATTTCTCTTTTTTCTTTCTCTTTTTATTTTCTTTCCCTGCCCTGACTTCCTCCTTTCTTTTCTCTTTTCTTTCTTTCTCCTTTTATTTTCTTTCCCTGCCCTGACTTCCTCCTTTCTTTTCTCTTTTCTTTCTTTCTCCTTTTATTTTCTTTCCCTGCCCTGACTTCCTCCTTTCCTTTCTCTTTTCTTTTTTTAGAGTCACGGTCTTGCTCTGTCACTCAGGCTGGAGTGCACTGGCACGATCACAGCTCACTACATCTTCGACCTTCTGGACTCAAGCAATCCTCCCACTTTCCGAGTAGCTGAGACAACAGGCTTCCGTCGCCATACCCAGCTAATTTTTATATATAGATACATGTAAAAAGAGAGAGAGTGTGTGTGTGTGCGTGTGTGCGTGTGTGTGTGTGTTAGGGTCTTGCTATGTTGCGCGGGCTGGTCTTGAACTCCTGGGCTCAAGCGATCCACCTGCCAGGGCCTTCCAAAGTGCTGGGATTACAGGCGTGAGCCACCGGTGCCAGGCCACACTTTGTGTTTCTCAGGAGGCTGGACCTTGGCCTTCTCCCCGCCACTTTTACTCCCTTTCCTTTGGCCCTTGAGGTTTGCACAGTCTCTGGTTTTCATTCTCAGGATCTTCCTTTCACATTTTCCTAAGCATATCCTGTTCATATACTGCATTTCAGTTATGATTTCTCTCCCCCAGCTGTTGTTTTCTTTAGATCTCCTGTAGCCTTACTACCCATGCCAGGTATTGGAGTGCAGTCATGTCCTCCCTGGTCTTATGGGTAATCCCTGGTTTCTCTGTCTACAGCTTGGCTCTCTAGCAGGTTTCTTCCATAAGAGGTAGCTCTGGAGGCCCCCAGAAACGAATGTGGTGTGTGTTTGCAAGGCATGATGGCTGCAAAAGTGGTTCCTATGCCCCCAAAGCCAAAGCGGTCATTTATACTGAGAGTTCCACCAGACTCCAAGCTGGGCCAAGACCTACGTCGGGATGCCACTAATGGGCCCAAGACCATCCACCAGCTAGTGCTGGAGCACTTCCTCACCTTCTTGCCCAAGCCAAGTCTGGTCCAGCCCAGTCAGAAAGTCAAGGAGACCTTGGTTATTATGAAAGATGTGAGCTCAAGACTTCAGAACAGAGGTGAGAAGCTTATGCTTGTTTCACTGGAAGAGAAGGAAGAGGTACTACTGGGGTCTGAGATAGGCTTCTATGTAGCAATGAATTGAAGTTAGGATGGTGTATATTGGAAAAGGAGTCAATTCTAGTGTTGGAAAGACGAAGTACTTCTCAAGTGCTGGTTGTGGGTAAAGCCACAGAATAAACAGTGTGCATCTTTGTGTAGTGTCAGTTTTACCCAACCATTCTGGGGGAAATGTCTTTTTAGGATAAATCAGATGAATTATTGAGTTAGGTGTATGTGGAATTTTAGAAATTTTGTGCTTTTTCTGGGCATCTTCACATTTTGCATTGCCCCAAGCTCTCCTTTAGTAATACTCTGGGAAATTTTGAAAGGTGCTTAGAGAAGTCATTCTTTTCACAATAGGGAGATGCCATGGGTTTAAGACTGTGGAGTTTATGGCTTGAACTCTGTAAGGGCTCACAGGAGTAGAAAAGGCCATGAGTTACCTGTCAGAGGAATGAGGACAGCATGGCCTCAAGGTATGGGGGGTCTCTGTGTTAGAGTCATTGAGTTTTTTCACTAACTACACCTTCCTCTATCCCCAGTGCATCCTCGTCCCTTGGTGAAGCTCCTGCCTAAAGGAATCCAACAAAAACAAGAGACAGTGTCTCTGTGTTTGAAAGCTAACCCTGAGGTGGGTTTGGTTTTCCCATTTACTGCCTGAATGCATCACCTTCTGTGCTTGGACAACCCGTGTAAAAAAACGCAGTATTAGGATTTGGCCTTCTTGAGTGTTTCCTTTTGCTTTTTTCTTGAGCCCTTCTCACCCTGGCTGTCCAGTTTGTGTTGCACCTGTGTAGGATTTATAGGTCCCTCTTGCCATTCCTTCCCTTGATCTTTGTGTGTAAGCTCTTCTTATCAGTAGGGATGTCAGTGAACCTCAGTTACTAAGATGAAAGGGGCCTCTTGCTCTTTCAGGAGCTGGTGGTCTTTGAGGATTTGAATGTATTTCACTGCCAGGAAGAATGTGTGAGCCTAGATCCTACTCAACAACTCACCTCAGAGAAGGAAGATGACAGCAGTGTCGGCGAGATGAGGTTACTGGGTAAGAAATCACAGCCTTTGTGTGTTCAGGTCGTATGCTTTGGGAAAAGCATGTCCTTTATCTCTTCAGCTTTGGGGGATGATTTGCACCTGCTAAGTGTAATGTGTGCACACACACACATTCTGTTTTACTTTTGTTTTATTCAATGTGGCAGAGCCTTGCCACAGAGCTACAGCTGTGGGTGGCCATTTTCCCTGTATCTTGGGGGCAGTGAGGAGAGAGGCAGGCAAAACCTACAGATGTAGAAACTATGGGCAGACTGTTCTGAACCCATTTTCTGGACCCTATTCTCACAAAAAGTATATTTGAATGTTTTTCTTGAACACATGACTAACTCTTTTAATCCCTCTCCCCTTTTAAATGTTCAATAGATGTGAAGACTACTATCCTAAGTGAAAATATATTCTGTTTTTGATGAAAGTAATGTCTAACACTTAATGAGCACTTACATGCTATTACATGCTAGGCACTAATCCAAATGCTTTTCTTGTGTTTATTGTTTCATGTGCTTCTCACAGTAGTACTGTGTGGTACAGAAATTACTGCCACCTTGCAGGTGACAGAACTGAGGCAAAGGGGGTCACAAAATTTGCTAAAGTTCCCACAGTTGTAAGCATTGGAGCAGGGACTCGGAATTTGACATCAGAATTTGCAGTCATGGCCCAGAGCTGTACTGCCTCCTGGATGTATTTCTCATAATTTTGTGGTGAATTCCATATATGGTTGGTGAATCGGGCATTCTTTATTTGTCCTCATTTCCCAGTGATAGTTAACAAGTATCCCAGTGCTATGTATGAACTGATCAGGCAGCAGCCTCTCTATAATCTGCTTAGAGATGCTTCACCTCTTCTCTCAAATGCTGCAGCCCTAGAAGCAGAGGCCCTCGCAAACGTCTTTACTGTGCCTGACACTTTTTACTTTGCCTTCAGGGCTGTTTGAAGGGCTAATGAAGTTGTACAGAGAATAGGTTTTAGGAGTGCCTGAGGTGACAAAAATCCATTATGACTGTCAAACTCTTAGCTGTAATATTCCATATGGTCAGAAGTCGTGGTATGTAACGAGTCTAGTTAATTTCTCACGTGTTGCTCTATATAATATCATCTTTATTTTAGAGAAAAGTATAAAAAGATCAGATTTATTATACTGAGTTTTTCCTGAGTCTTGGGCGAGCTAGCATTTATTTTGGGTGACTGGTTAGTGGATATATTGCGTTCAGGATCACTTTGACTATGCACTTCGGGCCCCTAAGACTCAGTTCTCAACCTGTATTCCCCGCTTCCTCCACCCTATACCTTGAAGCTGATGGCTTAAGCTTAGTCATTTACCAGCATTTCATACTTGTTTTTTCCTAAGGCAGGATTGGGTTCTGGAAGTGCATTCATTAGATTACAAAGATGCTGTATTTCTGCTTTTCATAACCTTCCAATTTGGTTTGTAAGATAAATCATTCATTAAAAGCTAAGCAATGTGAAGTTTTTATAGATATAATAAGCTATCACAAGACTGAGGCAAGATTTGGAAACGGGGCAGAGTTGGGAAGAAGATGAAATAGATTTTAGATGAGATTGAATCCATGCTAGGAAATAAAATGAGATTATCCTTCGAATAGTTGGTAATTAAGGATTGGAGCTTCGATGTAAGGATATGGGGGAGATTGGGGAGCCATCAGTTGATAGGTGATGATAATTGAAACATAACATTTAACCAATTTTTGCAAAGGAAAAACTATAATGGATTCAACATTGCAGTGACTGGAATCAAAGGAGAATCCTTAATATAGGTGAACAGCAAATGTGTGTGTTGGTCAAATGAACCACCTAAAAATAAGGAAAAAGATAGAACACTTAAATGATTCTCAATGAGATAATTCTTGTTGTAGCTACTGTGTGCTGTGATAGAAGAATACACCTTTTAAAGATTGAAGAAAATTGACTAAATACTGGGCATCAAGGAAAGACTCAAATTCCATAGAAGTAATGAAGTAGGATATGTCACATTGTAGTACAACTAGAAATTAATAATAAAAATCAGTAAATTAAAGTTCTTTCTACCCGGAAAATTTAAAACTCTTTAGCAACTGTCTTAGTCCATTTTGTGCTGCCGTAAAGGAATACCTGAGGCTGGGTTTATTTGGCTCACAGTTTTTTGTAGGATACACAAGAAGCATGGCATCAGTGTCTGCTTCTGGTGAGGGCTTCAAGAAGCTTCTGTTCATGGTGGAAGGAGAGCAGACTTCACATGGCAAGAGAGGAATGAAGAGAGTAGGAAGGTGCCAGGCTCTTTTAAACAGTCACATCTTAAGTAAGAGCGAGAAATCATGTAATAGCTTGAGGTTGTCCCCATTCATGAGGGATCTACCCCCATGATTAAAACACTTCCCACTAGGCCCTACCTCCATCATTGAGGATCAGATTTCTTCTTTTTTTTTTTTTGAGATGGAGTTTCACTCTTGTTGGAATTTGGAAGTTTCCTTCTTTTTCTGTATCTGGAAATTTTCCTAGCATTTGAATTGTGTAATTTTAAAAAGTTTAGAAGGATTTTCTGGAAATTGCCTGAGACTGGTGCTTTTCTTGGGTGGGTAGCTAGTCTTTTTTGATAATTTGTATTTTCTCTATGGAAATTGTTTTATTTTTGTTTAAATCTTACTAGTTTTTTTCTAGTTTTAACTCATTACTTTCTAATTTGTATTTATTAATACTTTTTTTTTTTTTTTTTTTAATTTTTACTAGAGACGATGTTTTGCTTTCTTGGCCAGGCTAGTCTCGAACTCCTGACCTCAGGTGATCCACCCACTTCGGCCTCCCAGAGTGCTGGGATTGCAGATGTGAGGCACTGCACCTGGCCAGTACCTTCATACTTTTAAATTTATTGTATTGTTTTTCTAACTTTGAATTAGAGGCTTTATTCTCACTTTTCTAAATTAATATATGTTTTTACAGCCGTGAACTGTCTTAAGAGCATCACTTTAGGTTATATCATAGATTCTGATATACAGTTGTCCTTCGTATTCATGGGGGATTAGTTCCAGGACGCCTGCTCAGATACCAAAATCCATGGATGCTCAAATTCATTATATAAAATGATGTAGCATGTACATATAATCCACACATATCCCATCATATATATTATTTCTAGATTACTTATAATACCTAATACAAAGTAAATGCTACATAAATATTTGTTATACCACATTCTTTAGGGAATGACAAAAAAATATGTACAGACAACCATCCTTTTTGTTTTCTCTCAAATATTTTCGATCCTTTGTTGGTTGAATCCTCAGATGTGGAACCCATGAATATGGAGGACTGTATAGTGTTTTCTAGGAAAAAAATATGCAATTTTAATTTGTCTTTACCCCTCTGACCCAAGGTTGTTGATATTGTTTGGATATTTGTCCCTGCCAAATCTCATCTTGAAATCTGAGTGGCTCATGCCTGTAATGCCAGCATTTTGGGAGGTCAAGGCAGGCAGATCACTTGAGATCAGGAGTTCGAGACCAGGCTGGCCAACACAGCAAAACACCATCTGTACTAAAACAAAAATACAAAAGTTAGCCGGGCACAGTGGCATATGCCTCCAATCCCAGTTACTTGGAAGGCTGAGGTAGGAGAATTGCTTGAACCCGGGAAGTGGACATTGCAGTGAGCTGAGATTGCACCATTGTACTCCAGCCTGGGGGACAGAGTGAGACTCGAGCTCAAAAAAAAAAAAAAGAAAATTTTTTTAATAGAAATAATGCAAATCTATTAATATTTCTTATATATAAAGGAGAAAAATCCTTTGTTTACTTGTATAATTACTGAAAAAATACTTGACCAAATTCCAACCCCTCCTTTATAAGAACATTTAACAAAATAGTAATTAATGGATACTTCCTTAGTAGGCAGAATAGAACAATCTGGCTGGGCACAGTGGCTCACGCCTATAATACCAGCACTTTGGGAGGCCGAGGTGGGTGAATCGAGGTCAGGACATCGAGACCATCCTGGGTAACATGTTGAAACCCTGTTTCTACTAAAAATGCAAAAAAATTAGCTGAACGTGGTGGCATGTACCTGTAGTCCCATGCACCTATAGTCCAGCTGAGGCAGGATGAACCTAGGAGGTGTTGCAGTGAGCCAAGACCGTGACATTGCACTCCATCCTGGGAAACAGAGTGAAACTCTGTCTCAAAAAAAAAAAAAAAAAAAAAGGTGAAGAGAAGGTTTTTGTAATTAACACCCAAAAGCCTTGAAAGAAAAGACTGACAGATCAAAATACATAAAAAAGAGGCTGGACATGGTGGCTTATGCCTATAATCCTAGCACTTTGGGAAGGGTGAGGCAGGTGGATCTCTTGAGGTCAGGAGTTTGAGACTAGCCTGACCAATATGGTGAAAACCCTGTGTAAAGTTTATTCTCTAAAGGTTTATTGCCGAGTTAAAAACAAGGAAACTCAGGCCAGCACAAGAAAATTAGATGCCAATTTATTCAGCTCCCGGGCGAGGTTCTGTGGTCCTGGGGAGAGGGGCCAGGGAAGTCATGCTGATTCCTCTCAGGAGTGGGGTTTTATAGGGAGTGAAGGCGTTCAGTTGGATTTGGAGACACAGGATGTGGACAGCGGGAGCTGCTATTGGTAGGTAGGTGGGACTTCCGGTGAGCGGGCTAAGTGCTGAGTGCAGACGGGATTTCCAAGGGTGGGGTTAGGTGCCCAGTGCAGAGAGGATTTCCAAGGCAGAGCTAGATGATTGGCATAATATAAAGTTTCAAGTGGGGAGGGACATGGGCGTGTTCGAACTCCCGGCGAGGCAACCAGCCTTACACCCTGTCTCTACAAAAATGAGCCAGGTGTGGTGGCATGCGCTTGTAGTCCCAACTACTCAGGAGGCTGAGGCAGGAGAATTGCTTGAACTGGGAAGGTGCAGGTTGCAGTGGGTGGAGGTTGCAGTGAGCCAGGATTACATGCCACTGCACTGTAGCCTGGGTGACAGAGCAAAACTTTGTCTCAAAACAAACAAA